AAAAAAAAACATATCGATATCGGTAAATATCGGTTATCGGCCATAACAGCAAAATTAATATCGGATATCGGTATCGGCCAAAATTTTCATATCGGTGCATCCCTACTAGTGGTATGATATAAGGTAACATGACATTATGATGTAATAGCAGTTAACGGCCCAATCCAGCACCTTTCACAGGCTGTGCTTCCTGGTGCATGGGGCAGCCCTGAGGAGGAACGGCCATTGTGGCCTCTGCCCTGACTGTAGGAGCAGCAGGTGTGGACAAGGAGGCTCCCATTCTGTCCTGTCCAATGAGGAAAACTGAACACACATACACACGCACACACACACACACACACACACACACCAAATTTGGTTAGTCAGTACACTTTATGTCAGATGTACAGGTACAGATAACTAGGTGTAATCACTGGAGCTAGGCACTTAAGCCACTTCATATCTAAATCGGTGCAATAGTGAATGCTGGCCTCAATGCTTGATCAGACTCAGTTTGGGCCAAAATCACTGGATCAGATATTGGATACAATACAATCCATTAGGCTAAACTATTACATAAAGGCTTAACTAAACGTGGGCTGAGTATTTCTTCCTTCTCAGCTGTAAAATATTTGTTTCACAGATTGAGGAGGATGTTTTGCGGCTAGCTAGCTCAAGTAAAGTGCATCCATACAAATGTATTATTACCAGCTTAGTTGTTTAGGAGAGGGAAGAGACAGCATCGGACTGTATCAGCAGATACTCAGGGTGTTATCGAGCTAATCAAATCCTACTAGACAACATTTCTCAAGAAACCCAGCTCCCTGTAGAGAAGTGCTTTGTGTAAATAATAACTTGCCTTAGAATATTTTCTAACCTAATGTATCAGTGTAGTTATTTAAACAAAGTTACCTGTTAAAAGGCGAGGACAGTGTGTGTTTTAGCATAAGACATGATTTAAATAGCTTTGCACAAGGCAAAGACATCATTTAACAACAACAAATAAAAACAGAAACAAAAAATGAGTTTTGCTAACGTTATGATAAATGAGTAAGTCGAAAGATTATTTAAGTGAGTTCCTATGTCTATGATAATAGGAATAATAATGCTAACTGCCAGAATGGCTGAACAGGCTGACTTCCTGCCAGCAGTTATCCTTGATTAACCTCACGGTTAGCATTAGCATCGAAGCTTCTGTCCAACCAGAGACCGTCTACGGAGGGTTTAGACATTCTCTGGCACAACTAACGTTAACTAGCTAGCAACGGAAGCTATTAGACTGTTTCCATACCAGAGTCCTCCCCCACAACGTCTCTAATTTATTCTGCCATTCACATAGAATGAAAAGAATAAAGTGAAACGAGACAGCAAATCATTCTGATTACCAGGCTAAGTCGCTACTAGCACTAGCTGCTTTCATTTACCGTTACCCCGGACTAGCTAACAGCTATGCTAACGTTAGCTGTTGTTGGATGTTGCCTGTCTTCTTTGCTTTTAGACGTAAAATCCTCTTACCGTGGCACGTTGGCAACACAGGACGCCTCTTTATTTATATTATTGTGTAACGGCCTAATAATACAGTAGGGTTGACACTATCAAGAGAGAGAATAACCTGTTAGAGAAGTCAGCAGAGAGTGTTCTTCCGTCAGGTTACTGTCCCAATGTCAACGTGCAGGACAGAGGGAGTTGCGCAACTGTATGTATGTCTATGGTTACATGTGCCGTACGTAACCACATACGTCATCACGCAGCCTGTTACAGCTGTAGCGCCCAGTTTATATATGGTTGTTTTTGTGAAACTTTAACGGTTTTTGTAACTGAACAATCACAAGCGTTTGCACTTTATAATAATCAGGCATGACCTTCTCATGAGAGGCAATAGGTATGCTATTGTTTCCTGTGTGTGTCTCATATCCTGGTTTAGGCATTGGGAAATTAGACTGTTATTAACATGATTTATGGATGGGTTATATACTAAATAAATAAATAAATTATTTTTTTTGCGATTATCCTTGATATTACCCTGCATTATTTCCCCTGCTACACTTAAGATTATAACCAATCCAGTCCTTTGTACCAGTTGAAACACCTTTAAAGGGCCAATATAACCCATGGAATGCAGTTTTCTACCAAGTCACTTAAAGTTTTTTCTGCCTTAAAGTGACATTATTTCACTCCTGAGAGTTATATTTTAAAGATTATACCTCAGTCAGTTTTTGGTAATAATTGAAATACTTAATATTTACTTAACAATACTTAACAATACTTAACAATACGATCCCATGTAATGCAGTTATGTACTTGCCTAAAACTGATTGCAGTTCCTATCTTGTCACTGACAGGCTTTTTCTAGTTAAAAAAATGACTTGAGTTCACTCATGACAGTTGTATTTTAAAGTTTATAGCTCAGCCAGTCTTTTGAACCAGTTGAAATAACTTTAAAAGTACAATACAACACATAAAATCCACTTTTGCACTTGCCAAAAAGTGATTACAGCTCCTACCTTGTGACTTTTATTTCTATTTATCATTTATGGTGTAAATGGCAAAATATGTTTTACAGAATTTAACTTCACAATTGTTGCTTGAAGCTGCTCTGAAGTCTTTGGTCTTTTGCAGAAAGGCTCAGAGGCAACAAAATATCAAAACAAGCTTTACATAGTGAACATCAATCCAATGTGCAAAGATCTTGTATTTACCTAAAAGGTGACAATGATGGTATCTTATTTGCTTTTTGTTCAAGATTTTCAAAGCCAGATTGTAAAGACACTATGGATTTAATTACAGACTTGTTCCTGTGCTGATTTGTCTGTATGCTTAGAGAGCTACAGTCCACTACTCCAATCTGTGTCTAACCCTCCCAAACTGTAGACCTCATTACCTTCAGGCTATTTTAATGCTTCACCAGAAATTGGAATGGATTTTACACTAATTTCTCTGGTTTCTTTAGTTTAAAGACTGAGGAATATGATGTTCTGGATGTTCAGGACAAAATTTACAAAATCTGGACTTTTATATCAGCTGCTTATTGAAAATGTCTCTGTTGACGTACAGTGATATTGAAACATGTTAACTATGTTAAATGGGACGAGGTGCAAACTCAGCCTCATATATACACATACTATAAATGATATGTATAAAATGTTCCTGTTAGCCTTGATGGATTTGTCCAAACAAAGAAAAGTGTGTGGTTTGACAGACATCTGTTCGAGTGAACAAAGACCTCACTACGATCAATTCTGTTGTGCTTCCAGTCTTCACAATGAGATCTTCTTGAGAGAGATAGATATGTTAGATATGTAGGAGCTGCTCAAATCTGGAACATGGACTGATGTCAAAAGATCTGTTCTGGGTTTTACAAACCTATCCAGATAACTCAGGCTCCTGGTGGAGAAGCTGTTAGGAAGCTTTTAGAACATTTCACAGAACACTGGATCATGTTATGCAGTCAATTGATTGGATTCAACACCAAACCAAGTTGTAAAAAAGGACAAATACTGGATGTAGGAAGGTGCTGCACAGCCTCAAGGTACATGGAAACAATTGTTGGCAAAATAATATAAAATACTGTCCAAGCACTCATATATGCAGTGTTAATGTCATCATCATTTAGTTTCTCATTGGTAAATGGTAAATGGACCTGTACTTGTATAGCGCCTTTTCTAGTCTTCCGACCACTCAAAG